CAGCGGGGCAGGGACTCTCAGGAGGCACCGAAGCTAGACAATGGGAGGGACTTCCCCCTGAGGATGGGTGGGAAGTGACGCCCCCCAGCGCGCCCGGGGGCGCGAAGATGCCCAGCCCGGACCGGCGGGGCTGGTCCGAAGGGAAGGGCCCGCGTGGCCAAGTCCCGAAGTTCTGATGGGGGAACCCGGGATGTAGTTCTCGGCGGAAGGCGCTGCAGGGGCCAAGGCGGGGGCGGGATAAATGCGCTCGGGGACAAAGTAAGCTAGAGGCAGGCGAGGACAGCCCCCCATGCTAGCCCCCTTTGCCAGCCCCCCACCCCCCCGTGCCAGCCTGGGGAGTTGGCTGTGTCCTGTGGGCGATGGAAGCAGGTTGTGAGCTGGGCGGGAACCTCGGATGGATGGATGTTCCCTCCAGCTACTCCGGGAGAAGTCCCCTCTGCATCCTGAGACCTCGGGCTTGTCACCTCCATTCTGAAGAGGAGTCTCTCCTTCTGTGAACTTGGGGGGTTGGACGGGGATTGCCCTCATCCCATAAAAGCTGCTCGGTTCGTTCTGAGTCAGACACACAGGCAAGGAGCTCTCAGATGGTGCGAATCCCTCTGGAAGCCCGGTTCCTCGCCTGCCTGTGTTGGCTCCATTCCTCAACTGTTTATTGAGCACCTACTGTGCACCAGACACTTTCTAGGTCCTGGGGCCACAGCAGGGGACAAGACAGACAAAACCCCCTCATTCCAGGGGGGAAAGAGAGAAGCAGCAAGTAAATATAGGAAGTGAGCTAAGGAGAGGGCCTGGGAGGAAAGGAAGCTGGCGGGTGATGAGCGCTGGGGCTGCATGAAGCCAGGTGACCGGGAGGATCCCTGAGGTGGCTTTTTCAGTGTTTTCTGTTATGGCGGAGTGCACCTTTCATAACACTTATCATCCTGCTGTGCACTTACAGTTAATGGCATAAGTATATCCATGTTGCACAGCCATCTCCACCACACACCTCCAGACCTTTGTCATCTTCCCAAACTGAAACTCTGACCTCATTAAACCCGTAACTCCCGATCCCCCTCCCCCAGCCCCTGGCACCCATCATCTACTTCCTGTTTCTATGGATTTGATTCCGTTAGGAACTTCATAAAGTGGAATCACACAGTATTTGTCCTTTTTTTTTTCTTTTAATCCTCACCCGAGGATATTTTTCCATTGATTTTTAGAGAGAGTGGAAGAGAGAGGGAAGGACAGAAACATCGATGTGAGAGAAACACATCAATTGGTTGCCTCCTGCACGAGCCCTGACCAGGGCCTGGGCCAGGGAGGAGCCTGCAGCCGAGGTACGTGCCCTTGACCGGAATCGAACCCGGGACCCTTTGATTCGCAGGCCGACGCCCTATCCACTGAACCAGACTGGCTAGGGCTGTCCTTTGTGTTTGTTAACCTCACCCGAGGATTTTTCTTCCCACTGATTTTTAGAGAGAGTGGAAGGGATGGGGAGAGACAGAGAGAGAAACATCGATGTGAGAGAGACACATAGATTGTTTGCCTCCTGCAGGTGCCCTGACTGGGGCCTGGGATCGAGCCTGCAACCGAGGTACGAGCCTTTAATCGGAATCCAAGCTGAGACCCTTCAGTCTGTGGCCGGCGCTCTAACCACTGAGCACAGCTGGGGCAGTATTTGTCCTTTTGTGTCTGGCTTCTTTCACTCAAAGCAATGTCCTCAAGGTTCATTCACCTTGTAGCGTGGGTCAGAATTATGTTTGTCCATTCATTCATCAACGGATACTTGGGTTGCTTCTATGTTTTAGCTGTTGTAAGTAATGCTACCGTGAACCTAGGTGTATAAATGAGGTTCTTCTGAACCAAGACCTAAAGGAGGTGAGGGAGGCTGGGAAAAGAGTATTTGGGGCCACAGGGAGGACTTGGGCTTTGGCCCGAGGAAGGTGGGAGCCCCGGGGGGCTGTGGGCAGAGCAGGGATATGATGACCAGCTGCCTTTTCGGATTCACTCCTGTCGAAGCAGGCGCAGCTCGGTGTGTGGCTAGCGGCCTTGCAACTGTGGGACAGGCTCTGATCACATCACTGCCCTTTGCTCTCTCGCACAACAGATCTTCGACCCCCCTGAGGAGTTGGAGCGGAAGGTGTGGGAGCTGGCACAGCTGGTTTGGCAGTCCTCCCATGTGGTGTTCCACACGGGCGCTGGCATCAGTACCGCCTCGGGCATCCCCGACTTCAGGTCTGTCGGTGTGGAGGGCAGTCTAGGCAGGACCTGCTAGCTGCTGTGGGCTTCCCTGTGAGCCACAGATACCCCGGCATCGGAATCCACCCTGCTGCCTTCCCCTTGCTGAGTCGTGATCCTCCACCCCCTGGGTATTTGGGATGGGAAAGACCCCTCCCTTCAGACTTGTCCCTTTAAATCACACCCAGCATTTCACTCACCCCAAAACTTGGACACCTGTCCATTCCTAGCTACAAGGGATGCGGGGCTCACTGTGCATAGCTAAAGATCAGGGCACTATTACCCAGAAAACAGGGAGAGTCATTTCAGGGTCAGTTAGCTCCACTCTCGCAAATATTTTTCTATCAGACCTGGTACCGGGCAAGGGGCTTACCCATTTGGACCTCAGTTTCCTCGCCCATAACTGAGGGTGTGAAATCTGATAAACCACCCACACTCCAGGCAGCCTGTGTGACAAGAATTTTGTAGCTGAAAAGCAAGGTTCTCAACCTGGCGGCCCCCGAATTGCTCCTGTAGTTGCTGAGTTCGCAACCCTGCCCCAAAGGCAGGCCTATTGCATTTATACTGTTTTTCAGGTTCCTGGGCCCCCAGTTGCAGAAGAGCAGGTTCCTTGGAGGAATGTTAGAATTCTAAGGCATGAATTCCTCGCCTCCCCCCCCACCCCCGCCTCCTCCATAACCTGCCATGGCTCCCCATCGCGCCACAGGAGAGTTCCAAGTCCTTCCCACCCAGCCCTAGGCTATCTCCTCAACCTCCCGCTCCCGTTGTAGCCCCCAGACCACTTGCATTTCCCCAAACGCACAGGCTGTTGCCAGCACCCCAGGCCTTTGCTTATCCTTCTGCCTGAACTGCCCTGCCTTCCCTCTTACAGTGTAAGGGACAGCTCAGCCTCCTCCAGGAAGCCTTTCCACAGTCCTCACACCGCCCTCACTGCCTCCACCGGCCAGCCCAGCCCTCAGGGCTGAGGGTCTGCGCCCACAGTGTTTCCCCTGACAAGATCAAGGACTCCTGGGGCAGGGCTGGTTCCGCTAGGTCCCCAGCATCACCCGGTACAGGGCCAGGCTCAGTGCAGCGGCAGTAACTTGGTTGAATTGAATAATTACTTTTTGCCCTTGGTGTACACTATTCTCTCTTTTTCCTCCGCTTCCTCCCTCTCAATCTCTCTTTCCCCCTCTTTCCCCCTTTGTCTCATTCTCTCTCTCTGTCTTTCTGTTTGTCTATCTTCAGTTCTCTGTCTCTTTAAAAAAAATCCTCACTGGAGGATATGTTTGTATTGATTCTTAGAGAAAGAAAAACATTGATCAGTTGCCTCCCGTATGCTCCCTGAATGGGGATTGAACCCACAACCTAGGTATGTGCCCTGACCAGGAATCAAACCTACAACCATTTAGTGTACGGGAAGATGCTCCAACCAACTAAGCCACCCAGCCAGGGCTGCCTGTCTCTCTTTTTTTAAAAGGTTGATTTCAGAGAGAGGAAGGAGGAGAGAGAAAGAGGTAGCAACATCAGTGATGAGAAAGAATCATTGATTGGCTCCCTCCTGTACATCCCTTACTGGGGATTGAGCCTGCAACCTAGGCATGTGCCCTGACTATCAAACTGCCACCTCCTAGTTCAGTGACGGTGAACCTTTTGAGCTCGGTGTGTCAGCATTTTGAAAAACCCTAACTTAACTCTGGTGCCATGTCACATATAGAAATTTTTTGATATTTGCAACCCTAGTAAAACAAAGACTTATTATTTTTGATATTTATTTTATATATTTAAATGCCATTTAACAAAGAAAAATCAACCAAAAAAATGAGTTCGTGTGTCACCTCTGACACGTGTGTCATAGGTTCGCCATCACTGTCCTAGTTCATGGGTTAACGCTCACTACTGAGCCACACCGGCCAGGCTGTCTATCTCTTTTTATGTCCCCCCTTGTTCTGATCCCTAAACTCTTTGTTTGCATCTCTCCCACATGCCACCTTCAGAGGCCCCCATGGCGTCTGGACGATGGAGGAGCGAGGCCTGGCTCCCAAGTTCGACACCACCTTCGAGAGCGCACGGCCCACACAGACGCACATGGCGCTAGTGCAGCTGGAGCGCGTGGGCCTTCTCCGCTTCCTGGTCAGCCAGAACGTGGATGGGCTGCACGTGCGCTCTGGCTTTCCTAGGTAACACCCGCTCCCTCTCTCTGGACTTCCGTTTCCTTATTTGCAGAATAGAGGTTGGTGGCAGCCCCTCCCTTGGGAGGGCGATGTGGCGGTTCATCAAGGCCACAGGGGACAGCACTTGACACCGATAGGACTTCTCCAACCAGAGCTGTCATTGTCAGTGCTTCCTGGGCACATCTCAAGAATTCGGTCCCCCTTTTTTGGGTCCCAGGGTGTCTGCAATCTCCCTTGAGGTGGGGAGGAGGGTGGTCAGGGTCTAGGATTTGCAGTTGCATTTTAATATTCGTCTTTATAACTTTTACTCTGAATGTGAACATTGGTTTTGGGCAGAAAGGTTGATTCCTTAATGCCAAGTGTGTCGCCCTCCCTACCCACTTTCCCTGATCTTACCCTTGGGGACAACGAGAGCCCCAGTTAGTTCAGACAAGTAGCCAGGCCCTCCAGGCAAGCGGGGAGGGAAAGGACTTGTCTCTGCTTGCAGAGGAGACTGAGGCAGCCGTCCTCTGCATTTCTGAAATGGGCCGAGTCCTAACTCCAGGCCTCAGGCACAAATAAAATTTCTCCAGGAGTCAGACAGCTCTTCTGACCTAGAAATGTCTCCAAGTTCTGGGCCTTCATCCATTTCAACATGTAAATACCTGAGAAAGGAAGACCCCAGCCTTCCTGGCTGGGTGACCCTGGGGCCCTATTCGAGCTGTTACTGCTGGGCACCTTATTGTCCCTCCAAGCAGAGTAATTCACTAGGTAGGTGGCTGCAGACCTAGCCCTTATGGCCCGTGGAGACGTTTCTAGAAATAAAAGCAAACGTATAGCAAATACAGTCCTATGGCACGGGTGTTTAGGGCTTCTAAAAAAACACAGAAGTCCAGGTCCCTACACCCGGGCAGCGTTGAGCTGGGGTGTGTAGGTGGATGTGACAAAGCCACCCAGAGATAGAGGGAGTCGCTGGGGAGGGGACAGGAGTGTATCTGGGGATTTCAGTGCCTTCAGTTTCCTGACTGATGGATTTTCGGTCAGTCCCCTCGCCTCCACCCAGGCCACTCCCAGCACCCACCGCTCACTGCTCAGTGACACTAGTCTCTGTGCGCAAACTGGGGAGACACCAATCCCCCAGCACCCCCTGGGTACAGGTAGCAAAATGGGCCACACTCAACAACTATTTATTGAGCACCTACTGCATACCATATCAGTTCTAGAGGCAGGACATAGCATACCAGACCCAGAAAGCCCTGCCCTCCTGGCTTATGCTATAGTGGGAAGGAAACAGACAGCAAACAAGATAAATAAGCCTATTAAATTCTATGTCCGACAGTGATCATGGCCACAGAAGAAAAAGAGGGTTGTGCAGAGAGGACTGTGTGGGGAGTTGCAGCTTTTAATAGGGAGGTCAGGGTGGCTATGACATTTGAGTAGGGACATGAAGGAGGTGACAGATGGAGCCATAGGAAAGAGCCTTCCAGGCCTAATAATTGTTCCCTCAAACATCCTAAGAGTTGGACATGGTCATCCTATTTCACAGATGGGGATTCAGGCACAGAGAGGTTAGGTGACCTGCCCAAGGTCACACAGCAGGGCGGCAACAGTGCTAGGAGTTGATTTCATATTCCTCTGTGTCAAAGCACATGTTCCAGAACCACCTGTCACCTCCATTTCTTCCTTTGCAAACTGGGAATTAGAATTCCCATCCTTCAGACCTGGTGACATTGGGAGGTTCCACCATGCTGATGGGTGGATTTTGTTAATAGAATGGGCTGCCCAGGTATGGACGTGGGGTCAGCTGTGGGTTCCTTGGGCTCCGAGAGGTTGGGCCAGCTGCCCGGGGTTGCACACCTGGAGAAACCAGAGGAGGGAGTCCATGGATCCTGTGGATGAGGGTTTAGGTAAGGCTTCCTGGAGGAGGAGGACTGGGCACCAGACCCGAAGCCTCAGGATTCAGGGAGCCCACGGCCCACCAAACGTCTTCTCCTCCCACAGGGACAAGCTGGCAGAGCTTCATGGGAACATGTTTGTAGAAGAATGTGTCAAGTGTAAGACGTGAGTGTCACGGGCGTGGGGGCACGCAGGGTATGGTGACCCAGGCCCGTTTTTTGTTCCTTCCAGGTTGGGCTCTGCAAAAGGGCCTTATGAGTTGAATCTGAGACCAAGAGACCCAGGTGGGGGGACAGGACTGGGGTGTGACCCTGGGGGTGTGGGGCAGCAGGACACATCTTCCTCCTGGGGAGGTGTACTCATTTTCTGTGGCTGCCACACGTAATCACAAACCAAGTGGTTTAACACAACAGAAATGTGTGTCCTCGCGGTTCCGGAAGCTAGAAGTCCAAAATCCAGTTGTTGGCAGGGCCATGCTCCCTCTGAAACAAGAGGGGGATCCTTCCGACCGCTCCGGCTTCTGGTGGTTTCTGACCTTCTGGGCGTCCCGTGGCTGTAGATGCATCACTCCAGCCTCTGCCTCTGTTGTCACATGCCCGTCTCCTCTGTGTCTCCTTTCTTACAAGGATACCAGTGTGGGACCAGGGCCACACTACTCCACTGTGACCTCATCTTAACTCATGGCCTCTGCAGCCACCCTCTTTCCAAATACGGTCACATTCTAAAGTGCCAGATCAGGACTCCTGCATATCATATGGGGCACACAGTTCAACCCATAACAGGTTGTGGGTTGACGGGTGTGACCCCGGGTCCTAGAAGACTGAGCCAGAGCCCTTCCTGGAATAGGTGGGCTCTGGGCGTGTCTTGCTCTGTGGGGGAGCCTCACAGATATGGATAACTGTGGGTGTCAGTGGCAGGAGCGTGACCCTGCCCATCTCCTGTAGGTGGGCTCTTGGGGACTGGGGCACAATTGAGACCCCCCCCCCTTCCCACACTTACATTTGTTATAAAAAAATTTTCCTCCATATTTGAAAGATGTTCACACCAATGGGAAACTCACAAGAATGTATGATGAACTCATACTTAACCTAGACCAGAAGTTAAACATCCTGTAAAGGACCAGATGGTAAATATTTTCAGCTTTGTGGGCCAGACTGTTTTTCTCATGACCATTGGCTCCACTGTTGTAGTGCAAACGCCACCATAAATGACACATAAAGGAATCGGCATGGCCTGTGCCAATAAAACTTTATTTATAAAAACGTAACAGGAGGGCCAGATTTGATCCCTGGGGCCATAGTTTGCTGACCCCTGAATAGATTCCCCAATATTACTGTTTTGCCACAATTTGTCTTCCCTTCTCTCTGTTACCAGGGTTTGCTGTGCTGTTCAAGAATAAGTGGCAGGCTTTCTTAACCTTTGCCCCAAAACCCTTAAGACATTTATCTCCCTCAAGCTTCAGTATTCTCTTCCCCAGCCACAGTGAAGTTGTTAAAGTTGGGAAATGTAAAAACCACGTAACACGATGATTCTGTCTCCAATTAATATTCCCCGTGCTCCCATTGTTGCTATTTTTCTCCTCGTCCAAGATCCAAGCCAGGTCACACTTTGCCTGTCACTGTCACTTCTCTTTAGTCTCCTTTGTCTAGAACAGTTCTTGGCCTTTCTCTGTTTGCCATGCTGTTGATGTTGCGAAGCAGCTGTTTCATGGAAGGCTCCCTCCCCGTCCCCCCTCCCCCCATTCTGGGCGTGTTGGATGTTTCCCTGTGCTTAGATTCTAGTCATGTAGCCCCTACTTCCCACTGGGTGGGCCCTAAGGTGGGAAGGTGGTGGGCTTGACCGGGCCCCACCATCCCTCTTTCCTTCTCCAATGTAGGCAATATGTCCGGGACACTGTGGTGGGCACCATGGGCCTCAAAGCCACTGGCCGGCTCTGCACCATGGCCAAGGCAAGGGGCCTGCGGGCCTGCAGGTGAGTGACCCCTGCCCATGCCTTGGGTTCCCGGGGAGGCGGCAGGTCTCCATACTGACTCCCCTAACCCTCACCATCGCAGGGGGGAGCTGAGAGACACCATCCTGGACTGGGAGGATGCTCTGCCCGAACGGGACCTCACTCTTGCTGATGAAGCCAGCAGGTCAGACCCCAGATGAGCCCAGGGTCGGGCAGGCAGGGAGAGGGGCAAAAGCACAACCAGCTTCAGCACAGGGCAAGCTCCAGCTCAGAGGTGGAGTCAGGAGAGGCTCCCTGGAGAAGGCGGCTTGAACCCTATTTGGGCATTGATTTCCCCTAATAATGGCAGCTGCTAGGTACTAGCCCTCTTACATACCTGACCCTGGGCCAGGGGCTTCACAGACAGGGTACTCACCACAGCCCAGGGGGTTCTACAGCGGGCCCATTTCACAGGCAGGGAAACTGAGATTTTAGCAAGGTGACTCCTCTGTCCAGTGCTACCCAGCCAGGATTCAACCCAGGAGTCCAAGTGTGGAGCTCCGGCCCACATCAGCAACTCCCCTCCGCCAACAGTGGGAGGGAAGCGACAGGGGCAGGATTCAGGGAAGCTGGGCCTCCCGGGGTGCACCTGGGCATGTTGCGGGAGAGTTTGAGACCCCCACCCCCAAGGGTGAGGCAGGAGGAAGGGCTGCAGAAACTGTAGAGAGGTCAGCCTAACCCCGCCTCCCGGCCCCAGGATCGCGGACCTGTCTGTCACACTAGGCACCTCCCTCCAAATCCGGCCCAGCGGGAACCTGCCGCTGGCCACCAAGCGCCGCGGAGGCAGGCTGGTCATCGTCAACCTCCAGCCCACCAAGCACGTATGTGTTGAGCCCGCCCCTGACCTTTCCCCCAGCCCAGGTCCCGATGGCCCTCTGCCTCCGCTCACATGTCCTTGCCCCAGCAGGACCGCCAGGCTGACCTCCGCATCCACGGCTACGTAGACGAGGTCATGACCCGGCTCATGAAACACCTGGGCCTGGAGATCCCCGCCTGGGACGGGCCCCGCGTGGTGGAGAGGGCGCTGACGCCCCTGCCCCGCCCGCAGAGCCCACAACCGAACCCCCCGCTCAGCACAATGGTTCCGGGCCCGTCGGCCCCAAGAGGGAGCAGCTGGACAGTCCTGCCCCCCGCAGGACCCCTAAAAGGGTGAAGACCGAGCTGCTTCCCAGCTGACCCGGGGGCCCGGGCGGGCGGACTTTTTGTAGAAACCGTGTTTGTCTTTTTCTTACCGGCTCACTTTGTGACTTGCCTCTGTCCTGGGGCAGGAGATCTCAGGGCAGTGAGAGCTGTGCTGCAGGCCCAGGGCAAACTCCCCTCCACTGGGGCTTCCTTTAGCTCCAGGGGCCTGGGGAGGAGCCACCCTGCCCTGGACCCTGACCTTGGAGCTGACACCGCAGTACCTTCTCTGCTCCAGCCCACGACTCAGGCGCAGGACGTTTTCTGGGGGAGGTGTGGCCACGCCCTCCCTCAGTTTCCAGCCTAAACAGAAATTAACTCCCTCTGCTCCCTGGGCCCTCACACCCCCAACCCCTGCCTCCCCCAAACGGCCTTCACAGTCCCTCCAGAGGGGGAGGGGCATACCCTCCATTTCAGAGCCAAACTTCCTGGTGGGACAGGCAGTAGAGTGTGGCACTGCCTTGGACTGAAGGGAGAAAGGGGCCCACCCGGCTCCCTCCAGGCTTCCAGAAAAGTCTTCAGTGCAATAAAAGCATTATTTCTTGCATCTGGGTCTGTGTAACACCCACAGCCTGCACCAGGTCCTGGGCCCTGGGAAGGAATGTGTGGCTCCCTCCGCCCCCAGGAGTCAGCCTGGGCTTCCATGCAGCCCAGACGCAGGGCAATAGCTGCTGGCGCTCCTTAAACTTTCAGTTCGTAATTGTGTACCTGTCTGCATGGTTTTTAATATTTGCCCTCTGCTAGGCTGTGAGCCACGCAAGGAAAGATCCTTTGGCTGCGATTGCAGCCCTGGGACACCTGCGCAAAGGGGCAGGGCGGGGGTGACCCCTAAGAGCTCAGGTGAAACTGGGTCCCAACCCAACCCAACCCAGCGGTAACCTTAGACAGGCCCTCAGCCTCTTCATGGGTGAGGCGAGCAGGGTGGGCAGCCCGGCCCCCTCGGAAGGAAGGCGGATGCTCCTGGAGGCCGCCAGAGACACCAGGACCTCGCGCTCCGTCGGCGGCCGCTCTCCACGGTGCTGAAGTCATGCCTGGCGCCTCGGGCCGCCTCTCCAGCCTGGGGGCCTGCGATCCCCCCACCTGACTCCCCCATCCCAGGCCCGCCCAGCCCCACCTCTGGGGGTTGGGGAGCCCCATACTCCAGCCTTTACCCAGTTACACTCCCACACCAGCCGTGTTCTGTCACAATATTTTATTAAGGATCACGGCAGTCGGAGAAGGTGGGGGGTGGCCATGGCCATCCCAAGTTCAGAGCCCAGCCACGGCTTAGGGGCCAGGCCCTCCGCAGTCTCAGTCACTTCCTCCTCCCTGTGTGTGAGGGAGGGGAGGAGTCCCCAGGCAGCGCAACTGTTGAGGCACGTTGTGTGTTTATGTCTGTCAGGGTCTGTGGATCACTGTGGATCTGCTGGTCCATCTGTGCCTGGGTCTGTGTATTTCTCAGGCTTTGTGGCCTCTGGGTTGCCCTGGGTCTGAGCATCAGTTTCTGCTCCTGTGTCTGGGTCCCTGGGTATGTAGCTGTGAGTTTGTGCATCTCCATCCTGGCATCTCCACAGGGGCCTCTCTCACCTCCAACCCCTGCCTCCCCGGCAGCGCCCACCACAGGGCCCCTGAGCAGAGGGGCCAGAGTCACATCCGGGTGGCACTCACAGCTCCTCCCCCACCGCCTCCAGCCCCACCAGACCTGGGCTGAGTGCCGGCTCAGATGAGGCCCAGTCCAGCAGGGTGGCCTGGCTCCGCTCCTCTGCCCAGTTGCCCTGGACCAGGGTCGACTTGTTCAGCTCCTCCGTCGAGTTTTCCAGAGCCAGCATGTCCTGGGATTTCCAGTGCACCCTGGGGCTGCGTGGAGACCCTCCCTGAGGCGCGCCAGCCTCGGCCTGAGGTCCTGGGGCCTCGGAACCTGGCGTGGTGTCGGGGGCCACGCGGGAAGCGGCGTCGTTGTGCAAAGTTCTGGAGAAGACTGAGCGAGGGTTGGGGGTTCATGAGGGATGGGGTGGGGAGACTGGTGCTCCTTCTTTCCTTACCTCCCAGCTTCAGGGAGCAGCTGCATGGGGGGCCCCTCCCCCCTCCCCCAGAGGCCCAGTACTGGGACGTGAGGAGCCATGGGGATGTCCATGATGCAGCCCAGAGGGGACCCCGAAGGGATTCTGGCCCACCTACCTCGCACCGGTGTGAAGTCTCCAGGGCTCTCGGCTTTGTTGAGGGCAAAAGGGCTGATGGAGGGGAGGACGATGAGGGCAAAAGAGAGCAGCAGGACCTGCCAGAGATGGGGGTGGGGTCACCCCATCCCTCCACCATCTCTACAAGCACACCCATCTTTTGGGCAGGGAAACTGAGGCCCAGAAGACTGGATTTTGCTTGAACTGGGGCCAGGGCCATGCTACTCACACCTTTCCCCCTCCCACAGGCCAGCCTGTCAAGGCGGGGGAACCCCTTTATCCTGGGGCCATCAGAGCAGGGGCTAGGACTCACCGCTATGCAGGTGCCTGCCTGGGCTGACTTGCTGGTGGACTGGACTACAATGGCCTGGAGTTTCTTCAGCTGCTCCAACAGGGACCTTAGTGGAACGAGCGGCCTTGGCTGAGCCCTACAGGCCTTAACCTGGCTCTCTGTCCATTTCTTGGGTTCCCCAGCATGGCGGATGTCTGGATTCTGTCCACCCCTCAAGCCCCGCTGCTCTTACAAGTCCCAGATTTGCTTTGGTAAATCTCCAATGGCATCCCACCCACTTCTCTGCCACCCCATCCAGGCCTCCAGGATCGCTCACCTGGACGCCAACCCAAGCTCAGCTCTACCTCCCTCCTGCCCCCCTGCCTCTCCTGACCCCACTCAGCAACCAGGGACACTTTCCAAATGTAAAACAACTCCCAACCCTCTCAGGGCTCCCACCTCCCTCAAGTCCTCTCTGCAGCTGAAGCCCTGCACAACTTGCCCCTGTTCCCTCCCTCGTCCTCATTCACTCTGCTCCAGCCACACTGGCCTCCTCACCATGCCTCCAGCATGCTGGCCCCAGGACCTTTGCACAGGCTATTCCCTCTAAGCACACTGTTCCCCCAGGTCTCTTGGCAGCTGGTTTTTTTTCTCATCCCATTAGGCCTCATCTCAAATAACACTGTATCTGACCTTCCTATCTGAAATAGCCCCGCAGCCCCGGCTGGGTAACAAAGTTGGTTAGTACACCGTCCCGATTTTCCAAGGTTGTGGGTTTGATCCCTGGTCAGAGCACATACAAGAATCAACCAAAGGCCCTAGCCAGTTTGGCTCAGTGGATAGAGCATCGGCCTGTGAACTGAAGGGTCCCAGGTTCAATTCCAATCAAGGGCCCGGTTGCGGGCTCAATCCCCAGTAGGGGGCGTGCAGGAGGAAGCCGATCAAAGATTCTCTCTCTTATATATGTTTCTATCTCTCCCTTTCTCTCTGAAATCAATAAAAATATATTTTTTTAAAAAGAATCAACCAATGAATGCATAAGTAAGCGGAACAACAAATCAATGTTTCTCTCAAATCAATATAAAATAGCCCTTCACCCTACTTTGTTTTTCTTCCTGAGAGCTATCACTATTTGTGTGATCTTTTATGTATTTTTGTTTTTCTTGAGTATGTCTCCCACTAGACTGTGAGTTCTTTAAGGGGAGGGACTGTGTCTTTGTTCATTTGTGGTCCCAGTGCCCAGAACTGTCTGATGCAGAACAGATGCCAAATAAACTGACTAAGTGGGTGCACCCCTTAGGTGGACTTATGTATAGTTCTCCCATACACCATGCTCCTAGCCTCAGGCCATTCATATGCCATTTCCTCTACAGAGAGTAGCTTCCCCCATGAACTCTTATACATCCTTTAAGACCCCAGATCCAAATCTCCTCTGCTATGCAGCCTGCCTCCTTTCTAGGTGGAATCCTTACCCCCCTCCCCACGCCCCTGCCCTGCCATCACAGAAGTTGCCCCCCTCCCCCACAATGTTCACCTCTCCTGCAAAGGATCTGGGGGCCGGTTCCCCCTGTCCTCTGCCCCGGCTGGACCAAGACTCACTGGTTCTGCTTCTCGAGATGCAAGACCTTCCTCTGAAGCTCCTGGTTCTGGGCAGTGCAGGCCGACATCCTGCGGGGACAATGTCGCAGTGACACTCAGGGTGCGCCTGCCACCAAGGGTCCCATCGCCTCGTCCCATGAGGCTCCACTTCACAGGCAGGGAACCCGAGGCCAGAGGGGAAGTCACTTATTCCAAGTCACCCTGGCAAGTCCGAGGGCCAGGAGGGAACCCATGTCTGCCAGGTTTCTAGGCCCCATCTCTGCATCGGTGTGGGGCCTTCATTCAAGTCTGAGCCCCCCTGATTGGAATGGATGCCGAAGTCAGGCAGTGATGCTTCCAGAGGATGAAATAGCAGGGATTCTGGGCATCCAAGGAGAACCAAGTGACACCGCTCACCGTCCCTGCGACCTTGAGCCCCTCGGCTCTCTGACCGGACCTCAGGCCCTCCTTTGTAAAGTTGGGTTACAGGTACTTAGTTCACAGAGGGGCTGGGAGGACGGCATGAAGCACAGTTGAGTCGGGGCTTGGCAGACTGCATTTGAGGAACAAGACGATGACTGTTGTTCCATCTAGGGTTCTGATGGAACACCTTTCCCTCTGCATCCATCTGTGAATGTGGTCGTGGCCCAGACCACTCAGATGTGGAGTCTAAATCCTCAGATCACAGCAGGAGGATGTGTCAGTCCTCACATCACAACCAGGGAAGAGAAGAAACTCCCTCTCTGAAAGGTCCTCTTTCTAAATAACTCACGAGATAAAGAAGAATTAGAGAACACCTAGGGTCCACATGGCAATGACAGTAGTCCAATCAAAATGTGTGAGACCCAGCTAAGGTGGTGCTGAGAGGGAAATTACAGGCTTCATTCAGCTCAATGAGCTAAACAGCAGCATAAAATCCACCACCACCCTCCCCCCACACACACACACAAAAAGCCAGTCTAAGAAGGACATGACAAAGCTTACAGTAGAGATGAAAGAACGGGAAAAGAAAAATACAACTGGATGGGAGGGAAAGCCAGAAATCCATTCTTTGCAAAGAATAATAAGATACACAAACTTCTAACAAGATTGATCAAAAAGATAAAAAAAGAGAAGGCACAAATAAATGAATTATTAAGAAGGGCAGAATTATAACCCGGCCAGTGTTGCTCAGTGGTTGAGCATCGACCCATGAACCAGGAGGTCACAGTTTGATTCCTGGCCAGGGCAACAGGCCCAGATTTCAGACTCAATTCCCAGCGGGGGGCGTGCAGGAGGCAGCCAATCGATGTTGATGTTTCTCTCTCATTTATGTTTCTCTCTCTGTCCCTCTCCCTCTAAAATCAATAAAAACATTTTAAAATAATAGGAGAGAACTAGAAGCCATTTTATCTTAATAAATTTGAAATCAGCATCTTCACAGAAAAATATAACATCCCAAAACGGACCCAGGAGTAAGTAGGAGACCCAAATAGACCTGTAACAGTCCATAAAGTCATCCTCGGCCGTCACAGCAGCTCTGGGACCAGTGATCTCAACCAGGGATGTACGCACCCCATATCCCATGTTCTGGCATGGAGCCAGACAAGATGGGTAATACCTCCCTCTCTCTTGGTACCACATATTCTGGGGACAAAGGGACCCTGAAACCCTTGCCCTGAGCCAGCTCTAGGCATATCCCATCCTTGCAACTTACATGAAAAAAGGTCTCCCCTGGAAAGGGAAGACGACCCTAATTTTGTCAGGCCTTAAAAACTGTATCTTAGGCCCATTGCATCCCTTTCTCTGGGCCTCAGTTTCCCCCAAGTGTGCCCAGAACCCAGCCTTACCGAGTCTCCAGGCCATCAATATATTCCTTCTTCTTTTTACGGCTTTCTTGGGCTGACTGTTTGTTCCGGATTTTCCGGCGGATTTTTTTCAGGACTCGCTCCTCATACTGCCAGGTGACATGGGGAACAGGCTGAGTCAAGCTAGAGGGTCTACTCTGCTGTCTGGACCCCACAATTTCACCCATTCTCTTCCCAGGGGAGCCCTCCCAGGCCCGGGGACGTGGGGGCAGATTCCTGATGATTTCAAGTCCAGCTTTCCACCCCCTAAATTCTTGCAGAGTCTCTAGGAGAGTCCTGGGCCCTGGAATCTATCCAGCTCCTATTCCCAGTTAGTAACTTGCTCCCAAACTCTGTGTATGGTGCGGTTGCGCCACCTTCTGGTCATATCTGAGACCAGTGCTTTTCATGGGGCCAGCTGATGCCAACACTAATGTCTTCCAATTGGAAGGGCAAACTCGGGTGTTTGACATTACGTGAAAGGGCTGAGTGAGAACTGTGGCGAGCGAGAGGTCCCACTAAGTTGGCTCTGTGGATGACTTTTTTACTCCGGTGGTAGACACGCCCAACCGTTTTAGTGTGGGAGGCCTATAGGTGAGACTCACGGGCAGCTGGCGGCAGGAAAGGGGACTCAGCCAAGGGTCTCACCAACTCACCTTGGTGAGGGGCAGCTGGGTGGGCAGTGAGATGCCTTCTTTGGCCAACAGTTTCTTCTCGTCCTCGGTCAGCACTAGTTCCTGGCAGTGCCCAGTCCCAGGTCTCAGCAGGTGGGGGGCGGCCAAGGCATGCTGTTGCTATGGAAAAACCAAGGGAATTGCGTTGAGGGCGGAGAGAGGGACAGCCTTTGGGAAATGAAAGAGGCATCAGACTTGAGCAACAATCAATCCCTCTGCTGTAGAGTCCCCACTGGCCGGCACACAGCCCTTTGACCCAGCAACTCCACTTCCAAGAATTGATCTTACAGATACCCTCCCACATATGCAAAAGCAGGGGCACACAGGACTTTCATTCACTTAACAAAGACATGAGACAGCCGTTTAGAGGCACCTACTACATTCCAGGCACCATTCTGGGCTGTGCACACTCATTGTAACACTGTCTGCAATGGCAAAGGATTGGAAGCAATAAAAATATCCAGCAAATAAGGCACGACCCATTTGCACAATGGAGTTTTACACAACCCTGAAAAGAGACGGCTCTCCATGTCATGCTATGGAGCAATCTCCATAATAAACTGTCAACTTAAAAAAGGGGGGGTGGGTGGCAAAACATTGTTGCATGTGGCCCACTACTTTTTATGTTAAACTTTTTTTTTAAGGTATCTCTTTGGAAAAAAATTGAACCTGTGTGGGGAGCTGGGTGCCTGGGTAACTGGGGTGAGAAGGTGGGTCTCCCAATCTACGCATTTGTTCCGTTGGAACTTGGGCTGTGTGAATGCACTTCCCTATTCAGAATAGTTTCGATTAAATTTAAATTATTCAAGATAAACATTAAAAATGAAAGAATCTTGTCATCAGAATGTCCAAGTCTTAGCAATGTCACATTTCTAAGGAACGGGAGACTCAGGCATAAAGGTGGAGCTTGGGGGTCAGTCTGTCATTCTTTGGGTCAAACTCCACTACCTAGAACTCCAGTTCATTGACTAGTCCAACCATTTTCTCTCCAGGGTCCAAGCCTCAGTGTGCTCATCAGTGAAATGGGGATAAGGTCTCCCACATCTTAAGGTTGTTGACATGAAGAACAATGATACTGAACTTGGTGCATTTACCAAACCCAGCTAGCATTTCCAACACAATCATTCTCCTTTCCTATCCTTCAAGGCCGCTAGGGTTCCCCCTCCTCTAGGATGCCCTCCAGGACCTGCAGTGACCCTCCAGCCTCTCTCCCTTGTTGGTACACTTTCATGAGATTCCCCAGAGGCTGAGCACACGGCTGGTGCTCACCCACATCTTTCAAGTTGGGAGGGGCATTTTGGTCTAGCCTAGAGCTTGTCAGGATGACTTTTGGTATCAGACAAACTGGAGTTCAAATCCTATTGGGCTACTTGTTTGCTGTGTCACTTGGATTTAAGCTCTCTGGGCCTTGAGGAATGAAGGCACTAATTGGGTTGTTAGATCTGGTTTGGAGGTACTTGAAGCCCTCAGTCAGCATGCAATGGGCCCCACAGGCCACACCAGGGATAGAGCCTGCAGCAGCTGGGTGGCTACAGGCAAATGAACTTCTCTATGCCCATTTCTTTAGATGTAAAATTAAGATAATATGAGTCCCTGCCTGGCCAGGGTAGGTCAGTGGTTGAGCGTCAACCTATAAACCAGGAGGTCACCGTTTGATTCCTGGTCAGAGCACAGGCCTGGGTTTCAGGCTCGATCCCCAGTAAGGGGAGTGCAGAAGGCAGCCGATAGATGATTCTCAACTCTTTCTCCCTCTCCCTTCCTCTCTGAAATCAATAAAAACTATTTTTAAAAATATATAATATGATCCCCAATCTTCAGGGTTATTGTGAATTAAAATATTATACATTTAAAGCACGTAGGAGAGTGCCTGGCCTGTCGTAGGTGCTCAGTAAGTTTTAGATTTTTTATTTTTATTTTTTCACTACCACTATAGCTCAGGAGATAGAGAACTCAGGACTGGGACCCACAGACTTGATTTGGATGTGACCCTGGACGAATCCAGCCTTTGTCTGTGACTCAGTTTTTCAGTGTCTGAAATGAGGGTGTTGGGGCTCCGTGCACCCCAGCGGCCCTCCCAGCTCTGATGCTTGGGAGCGGGGGGTAGGGCTGCTCACCAGGTCTCCACTGCCGGAGAGGAGGAGGTCTTTCACGGTGAGGTTGCAGCTTGGGGGCGACACTGCCAGCTCAGCCTGCTCCTCGGGGTAGAGGCCCGGGTTCCACATTTCTAACCGGGGCAGATGGGGGCAAAGACAGGGAGAGTGTCAGGTGGGGGGCTCTGACCTCCCAGCTTCTACCTGCCTCCTCCACCAAGGCTTCCAGGATTGGCTGCAATGTGCTGAGGATTTTTGGTACAACTTGGGGCCCCGAGGCCTGGGGTGCAGGGGACAGACCCGGCTGGTGCCTCAGTCTCCCCTCTCTGGAAGGTAGAAACCCAAATCCATCAGGACATAGTCGAGGGACCCTCTCAAGAGCTGGGGGTAGAGCCAATCAGGAGAGAGAGGCTCTTATCGCCCAGGATTCTCGACCAGATTTGCAGCCAACCAGGCTTTATCTGCCTTTGGGGCAGGGACCAGGTCTGACTCACCTCTGGTTCCCTCCCACCTGTGCCTGCTCTTCAGAGCATAAACCTTAGAGTCTCATTCTCACGGCGTGAAACATGTGCCCTTGGGTAAGTAACTAAACCTCTCTGAGCCTCAATTTCTTCAGCTCTCCGAGGGGACTCACAAGAGCTCCCACTCCACTGCAAGGCTCAGAGGACAAAGGATGCCCTGCTGGGGTGTCTTCTGCATAAGGCCTCCCCCAAGAGGAGGCCTTCGCCACTGGGATCCAGGACCTCTCTCACTGACACGGAGCATCTACTATGACCCAGGCCTGGGAGGTACAAAGACAAGGTTGGTGGCACGACACCTGGTGCCACGGCCAGCCTGTCGGGGGTGCATCCCAGCTCTGGGACTTTGTTGCTTAACCTCATGGGAACTCAGTTTCACCATCTGGAAAATGGGCCCATGAGAGCATCCATCTCAAAGGGTGGGTATGTGTGTAATGAGGTAAGGGCAGTGAGAAAAGACACAGAACTCACCCAGGTCTATAGCCACGGAGGCCTCGAGCACTTGGGCCGCTGGCCCAAGAGGCCTGTTGGGGCTGTGGGGGACAGGAAGGTAGGAGGGGCAGAGCCCCTTGCCAGACTCCGAGAAATGGCAGCCGGCCGGGGCGGCGGCGGGCACATTGTGTGGAGGGGTGTCCTGGGGGTCGGAGGGCAGATCTTCAGAGATGCCGCTGTCACTGTCCGCAGGAGACCAGAGAGGAGAGCTTGGCACCGAGTCTCCAGAACCCAAGATACAATTGAGAAATTCCTCAGAGTCCGGGGCTGGCAGGACCTGCTGGGAGGAGGGGCGGGAGTGAGGAGGTCTGCGCTTTGCTCTGGAGAGCTGTGTGACTGTGGGCAAGCCCCCGACCCTCTCTGGGCCTCCCTTGTCCTTTCGACCAGAATGAAGGCTTGTGGGGCTCGAACACAGTCAGGTACCGCGAGAACACCATCCAGCCTGCTCAAGGCACGAGCCCTGAGTTTGAGTTTGGACCCAAACGGCTGTGTGACCCAGACAAGTGACTGGACCTCGGATTCATCACTTCTCGGGCACCGATGCTGCCCGCCCCCTGGGGGAGCTGAGGGGTTCAATGCAACAGTGTGCTTTGCTGAAATCACACCCCGTGAGCCGGAAATGCTACCGGGCTGAGGGAAGTTCTGTCTGCAGGGGGGGCCTCACCTGGTCTCCAGCGTGGCCCCAGTCCTCGCCCAGATCTTCATGTCTCAGGATTCCATCCTGTCGATCAAACAGGAGGTCCAGGAGCTCCAGGCTGTCGATGGGGCCCACCAGGCAGGTGGAGGAAGCCATCTGGGGAAGGACGGACAGGCATGAGGGTCACACAGCCCCTCCCCTCCCCATCTCCCATCTGCATACCACCCCGGGCCTGCCCAGCTCAAGTTCAATCTCCACTCAATCCCTAGGCCTGGCTTCCACCTCCAAATCAGTGCTGAGGGGCTGACCCAGAGTTTGGGGGGTGGTAAGGGGGGGGCAGCCAGTTTCTTTAGAAAGTGCTAGCAGATATACCCACAGGGATAATCAGCCTGGTCACTCCCTGGAGGCGGGTAGAATCGGCCCTCATTCCCCGCCTGCCCAGGTCGCCCCTCCTGGGAGGTGGGGGTCTGGGGGAAATCAGAGAGCAGGCCTGGAAGGGAGGCATGGCTTTGGTCACTGCGTTCTCTCTCTGGGCCTGTCTCCCACCTGTGCCATGTATGGGGGATCCTTCCAACGCTGGGAGCTTGGGGAGCGTTTCCTGGCAGAGACCACCTTCCCTCCACCTTCGGACCCAGGCAGGGCTCACCTTTCCAGCAGGTAAATCTCCATTCATGAGCCCGGCCAGCTCTGCCTCCAGCTACTTTCCGTGGCTCTGATCCGTGGAGGCTCACCCCGAGTCTTGTTCCTGTCTGTGGATCTGTCTCCCCACCCCCCAAAGATGCTGAAATAGTCCTGGGGTGCTCCCAGCCCACCCCCGGCTGCTGATTGGGGGACAGGCAAGATGGACAGGGTAAAGGGCCAGTGATACCAGGGCAGGCTGGGGGGAGGGGAGAGAAGACCCGTTATCTTGATGTTTTGTGCTTTTCCTGCAGGCAAGGGGCAAAGGCCGAAGTCTGGGGTGCCTCTGCTCTGCCATGACCTCTTCCCTACTTTTGGGGACTGTTTCTTATCAGAGTCCTAGACGTCGGGATAAAGGAGAGTCCAGGGCTCCTGGCCGGTCCAGTCCGCTCCTGGGACAGAACCAAACAGGAGGACCACCCCGACCTTTGCCGAAGCCATTCTCTCTGCAGGCGCGCCCTTCCCTCATCACAGCTGGCAACCTCCTACCACCCTCCAGGCCCTCCAGGGCTGAGCCCTGTAACCAATTCCTTCTAGGATCTTCTCTAGTTAATTTATTCAACAACTATTTACTGAGCCAAACTATTTTTTTTAACGGAGCCCAACTTGTTTCCACCTCAGGGCTTTTGCATGTGCAGTTCCCTCTATCTGGAACTCCCCTTTCCTCCACCCCTGACTCCGTCACTGTGCCCACTTATTCGTGAGTGTTTGATATTTGTGAATCAGCCCATCTTTGACCCCAGCAGAGAGAAGACCCCTCCCCATGTATCTTTATCAGATCCTTGTTTTCACTGAACTCATTATTTAAAATGTTCTTGTGTATTAACTTGCTTGGTGTCTTCCCTCAGTTCTCCCCTCCCCACTGCGCCCAGAATGGAAGGGCGGGGCTAGAATAGAGTCACTGCTAGGTCCTCAGTGTCCAGGAAATGCCTGGCATACAGTAGGTGCTCAATCAACTCTTCCTCACTGAGCTCCTCCTATGTGTCAACCACCATTTAGGCCCTAGGGGTGAGGCAGTGAATGAGCTAGACCATAAACGAATAAATAAACCAGTAAACAGATAACTGGGTTAAGTACTACTGAGAAACTAAGCGAAACCATGATAAAGGTCCCCTGAGGACTAGAAAAAGCCCCTTTTAGAAGGTGACGTTTAAGTACAGCCCTGAATGATGAGACAGAGGCAGCCATGGGAGACCTCGGGGAAGGGTGTTTCAGGCCAAAACAATAGCATAAACAGAGGCCCTGGGAGGGCTGTGCTGGCCGGTGGAGGAAGGTGAGGGGCTGGGGTGCCTGCAGCAGAGTGAGGAAGAGGGAGAGAGGGAGGCAGTAAGGACAGGGAGGGCACAGGAGCAGGGCTCTTGAGGCTGAGGCAGGCGTTTGGCTTATACTAAACATAGCAAGAAGCTATTGATGCCCGGCCGGCCGGTGTGGCTCAGTTGGCTTAGCTTCGTCCCATGCACCAAGAGGTTGCTGGTTCGATTCCCAGTCAGGGCACATACCCAGGTGATGGGCTGGATCCCTGGTAGGAGGCATTCAGAGGGCAGCCAATTGATGACTCTCATCAATGTTTCTCCCTCTCTCTCTCTCTCTCTCTCTCTCTACCTCTCTCTATAAAATCAATAAAAAAATTTTTAAAGGCAGAGATTCTTAAAAAAATAAATAAAAAGAAGCTGTTGGGAACTTAGTGAATACACGGCTAAATCAAGACTTCTGTATGCCAGGCATGATGCTAAGAGCTAGGTTTACAGCGGTAGCTAAAAAACCCTCCTTATTCCCAAGAAATTTACATCCTGGTGTATATTTCTCAATGCATCGGTCATTATTTACTCATGCAACAAAAATTTAATGAGGACCTACTATGTGCCGCACATGATGTGTTTCTTGTATCCAACAATGAGTTACATTGCAGCAGTTGCCCTCCCCCCTCCCCCCGGGGAGGGGCACTGAGCAATGTCTGGGGACATCTATGGTTGTCACAATATTCCTGGCATCGAGTAGGTAGGGGCCAGGGATGCTGCTTGGCACCCCCCAGTGTCCACGATAGCCCCACAGAGAGTGACAGGACCCCAGTGTCAGCAGTGCCCGGGGGAAGACCCTGCGTTACAGGAACTGTCCCCTCTGGATGCCGGTATCGCTACCTCGTCCTTGGCTCCCGGATCTCGCCTGTTTCCTTTGCAATCCCTCTGCGGTGGATCTTTAAGGGGTTTGTTTGGTTTGGCTGGTCTTTGGCGATCCAGTCATAATATTTACTCAGCTTTCGCTGTGGCGGCACCGCGCCAGGCCCGTCCTGGGCAGGTGTACCAAGTAGGTGAAATCTGACTTCTGGGCTTCTCTCTGCCTCCTCCTCACCCCATTCCTGACTCTGAGGAGTCCAGGTTCCCTTGAAATAGGATGCCTCCTCCTCCTCTTGTGAAAACCTGCCAGAAGAAAAGGAGGTGGCATTTCTCATTTATATCTTCATGGGGGCTAAGGCCCTCCGGCTCCCCCTCCCGGGATGTTTGTATTCTTTACATTTGTATGATTATAGACTTCAGAAGGCTTTCCTAAGCCCCAGTGAAGAATGTCTGAACAAGTAGGATAGGGATAGACATTGGAGGGAGGGCAGGCCTTTTCGATGCCCCTGACATCACATTATCCCACGGACTAAACACAACCGCCTACTTCAAACGTCCATGATCGATCCCACCAATATGTTTACGTGTGAAACACAACCCCAGAGGGACGCTGTGGCCAAAGCCGGGGAGGGAAGACTGCGCGAATAAACAGCTGTGCAGAACTTATCAGAGCCTTTACACTCATGGAGGGAACAGAGTTTGTAGCATTTCCCAGACATACTTGTATAGGTGTGTTTGGTTTTTCATTTTTACTTGATTTACTCTGAACCATTTCTGACATATGAAAACGCTGAGAGATAAGCACTAGAATGACTAAAATAAAAAGATAGACAACATCCGATGTGGTCGGACGCTACGGAGCAATTGGAACTCTCACCCACTGTTGGTGGGAATCAAAATGGCCCCATCGCTTCGGTAAACTTCGGAAAACTGGGCAGTCTCTTACGAAGTTAAACATTTATTCACCACATGACTTCGCAATTTCACTCCTGGGTATTTACCCAAGGGAAATGCAAGTGTACGTTCACAAAAAGACGTGAATGTTCATGACAACTCTATTCACAATTGTCCCCAACTGGAAAGAACTCAAAAATCCAACAACAGGATGGATAAGCAAACTGGTATATCCAGACCACACAATGCTACTCAGCCAACACTCATCAAATTGAACACACCTAAGACGTGCATTATTATTGTAAATTAATTCTACCTCAATAAAAAGCATACAAAATATATATAATAAACAACCATGCACACAGAACGTTTAGAAACAACCAAAACATTACAAACAACCAAAATATCCATTTAAAAAAAATCCATCAAGAGGGCATTGATTAATAGAGTCTGATGCATTTGCATAATGGAATATTATGTAACTGTGAAAATGAATAAGGATTATTTATACATACTGATAGGGGACAATATTATAAACATTGCACCATACATTTTCTTTATTGTGGTATGCATTCAACACATTTGTTTATTATCATTACTTTTTTAGTCCTTACCCAAGGATATTTTTCCCATTTATTTTTCTTTGAGAGAGTGGGAGAAAAGGAGAGAGAGAGAGAAACATCAACTGGTTGCCTCCCACACAGGCCCTGACCTAGGCTGGGGGATCAAACCCGCAACTGAGGTACATGCTCTTGACTGGGAATAGAACCTTGAGACCCTTTGGTCCACAGGCCAATGCCCTAACCACTGAGCAAAACTAGCCAGGGCTCAACATACATTTATTGTCTATTCTGTGTTAAGCAACAAAAATGCCTTTTGCTCCTTCCCTTCATCTATATTAGTTCAGGAGCTTAGCTAGCCAGAGAGAGGAAGAGGTGTGGGGTGAAGAGCTAAAAAGTCTCCAGCTATGTCCTGGCCAGTATGGCTCAGTTGGTTAGTGTCGTCCCGTGCACCTAAAAACGTTGCTGGGCCCTAACTGTTTTGGCTCAATGGATAGAGCGTCAGCCTGCAGACTCAAGGGTCCCAGGTTCGATTCTGGTCAAGGGCATGTACCTTGGTTGTGGGTACATCCCCAGTGGGGAGCGTGCAGGAGGCAGCTGATCAATGTTTCTCTCTCATCGATGTTTCTAACTCTCTATCCCTCTCCCTTCCTCTCTGTAAAAAATCAATAAAATATGTTAAAATATATTAAAATAAAAATAAAAATCAACATCCTCCCCTTAAAAAAAAAAAACGTTGCTGGTTAAATTCCCCATCAGGGCATATGCCCAGCTTGTGGGCTCGATCCCCAGTAGAGGGCATGAAGGATGCAGCTGATTGATTTTCTCTCCCTCTCTCTCTAAAATCAATAAAGACATATTTAAAAATAAATAAATAAAGTCTCCAGCTAGGATTCATCTGTAAAATAGGGACAATCATCACGGCAAGATCTACTGTGTGCAGTATCCCCAGTGCCTGGCACCATGCCTGCCACACAGTAGCTGCCCACTCAATACTTAGAGAAGGCACAACTGAACGTCTATAAATATAACTGCTGCGTTTAGTGTATAACTGACAAGCTACAGTCTGTCAGCCAATTCTGGCTCTCTGCTTGTTTTTGTAAATAAAGCTTTATTGGCACACGACCACACCCATTTGTTTAGGGAATGTCTGTGGCTGCTTTGTATACAATGGCAGAGTTGAGCAGTTGCAACAGAGACCCTGAAAATATTTAGTATCTGGTCCTTTTCAGAAAAAGTTGGAACTTGCTATTATTAGAAACTAGAGGACTGATGCATGAAATTCGTGCAAGGGGTTCGGCCCCCCGCCCGCCGTGGCTTCGTCTGGAAGGTCGTCCGGAAGGACATCTGGCCTAATTAGCATATTATGCTTTTATTAATATAGATAGCAAGGTTTAGCAGATTGGACCTGCTCTGCCCAATAAGGCCACTATGGCTATTGAACACTTGAAGAATAAAGAATGTGATCGAGGACCAATGTTATTTCATTTTTGTTCATTTAGAATTTAAAACCAATACTCAAGTCACTTACTGGACAAATTTTGAGTACACATGAAACAACCCGGGTTTGTGAATCTACACTTTTTACTATAAACTTTCTGAACTCCAAAAGTACACATCAAGGATTTCTGATAAAGATTTAGTGACCAAATTGATAAACACATTGGATGTCCAGGATTAGTATGAAGAAAAAGTGAAGTACCATATTCATAATTTTGATATTGACCACATGTTGAAATGAAAATAGCTTGGATTTATTAATCATTTAGATTAACAAAATATATTCAGATGAAAGTTATTTTTTCCTTTGTGCTTTTTAAAAATGTAGCTGCTGGAAAATTTAAAGTGATCCATGACATTTCTCTCAGACAGTGCTGAGTTAGAACAGGGCCTGGGTTCAAATCCTGACTCTGCCACTTGTCACTATGTGGCTGCTTCTCCCTGCCAGTTTCCTTATCTGCAAAATAGGGGAGAAAGGACCTGCTCCACGGGGTGGCCGGGAGGATTCAATGAACTAAAACATGCGAAATGCTTGGAAGGCACCTCCGCAGTCAGGTCTGAAAACCTGGCCGGCATCAGGGTTGTTGCTATTATTACTGGTATGAGTCTCTGTGAGAAATATGTTGCGCTCCAGTCCTGAGACGCTTGGCAGATGCCCACCTGCCTGTCACAGTTGGGTGGCCTCAGCCCTTTGGCCATAGCGCAGGCCTGGCCCCAACGACAGTCCCCGTTCCGCACAGCACAGGAGGGCAGAGGGGCTAATGAGGGGTGATGACTCACTGTGGCCATGAGTCAGCCACAGCTGAGACAACGCCCAGGTCCTCTGCTCCAGACTGGGGCTTGCCCCTTGTCACCATGTCACCTCCCCTTTCTTTTGGCTTCCCTCTACGCTTCTCTTTAAGGTCAGTTTTGCAGGGAAGAAGCAAGGGGTTCTGGGAGCAGCAGCTCCTTGACCAGCTCCTCCCCCGCCCCCTTCCTCCTCTTCTCCTCTGGGTCCCTCCCTGGGGATATGGCCTTGCCAGGGAGTGAGTAAAACCCTTGTGACATGGGTGTGGCAAGGGCAGGACAGGGGCTGGGGGAGAGGGGGAACTCTGATCTGCCTCTTGGGCAATGCTAACTGATTAGCACCTAATCCTGGAGACTGCCCAGTTCTTCTCTCCTCTTACACCATCCTCTGCGGCATTTCCAGAAAGTTCTGGGCTCCTGGGAGTGTGTGAAGACAGGGTGTGAATCAGGGTCTCCAAACACCATGGAGGAAAACTTGGTGGGGAATGGGCTCCCTCTGCCCTTCCTAAAGAATGAAGGATGTTATGTCCAGTCATTCATTCATTCATTCCTGCGACCACTATTTATCGAGCACCTACTGTGTGCCAGTGTTGGGGACACAGCAAGGAACATAAATATTCCCCACTCCCTCTCCCAGTGGAGCTTATTGGGGGAGACAGATGCTAAATAATATCATTTGTGCATAAGCAAGAAAATAAGTAATATTAAGGGATCGTGTATAGCAATAAAGCAGGGCCCGGCCAGTGTGGTTCAGTGGTTGAGCACTGACCCATGAACCAAGAAGTCAGCAGTTTGATTCCAGTCAGGCACATGCCTGGGTTTAGAGCTCGATCCCCAGTGGGGGGCACGCAGGCAGGAGGCAGCCGATCGATGATTCTCTCTCATCATTGAGGTTTCTCTCTCCCTCTTCCTTCCTCTCTGAAATCAATAAAAAATATACATTTTAAAAAAACATATTAAAAAAAAGACACCAGGAAAGAGAGAGAGGTGGAGAGTGTGGGGGTGACTTGTAATTTTATATAAGGTGGTCAGGGGGGAATGTGGGAAGTGTTGAGAGCAGAGAGCAGTCAGTGTAAAGGCCCTGGGGTCGGAGGAACAGCAGGGAGGTGCACGGGGTTGGAGCAGAGTGAGCAAAGGGGAAGCAAGGGAGGGGACTGAGGGCTTTGTTCTCCTCGGGTAAAAAGGCTGATGGTCAGTCCTGTGATGGCTCTAGAAGTTTCTAGAAGGGGCTGGGTGGGACATGTGTGTCGACAGGGTTAAAAGGCCTGGGTATCCGGATACTGCTGTGTTTTGTGTGTTTTTTTTAAATCCTCACCCAAGGATATTTTTCCACTGATTTTTAGAGAGAGTGGAAGAGAGAGGGAAAGACAGAGAGAAACATCGATGTGAGAAAAACACATCAATTGGTCGCCTCCTGCACGCGCCCTGACCAGGGCTCAGGCTGGGGAGGAGCCTGCAACTGAGGTACACGCGCTTGACAGGAATCGAACCCGGGATCCTTAGGTCCGCAGGCCCAGGCTCAATCCGCTGAGCCAAACCGGCTGGGGCAGGATACTGTTCTTTCAGCCTGCTGTCAGGGCTCACTCTTTCTTTTTTTAATTTCTTTATTGGTTAAGGTATTACAAATGTGTCTCATCCCCCCATTAGCCCCCAACCTCCCCCCTCTTTTTTTAAAGTATATTTTATTGATTTTTTTTACAGAGAGGAAAGAAGAGGGATAGTTAATTAGAAACATCAATGAGAGAGAAACATCATCGATCAGCTGCCTCCTGCACACCCCCTAAGGGGGATGTGCCCTCAACCCAG